CTGCAATATGAATTACATCTTTGGCAGATATCTGCTTAATGGGATGTAAACAGATCCTGAACTGTATTTTATATATATGTTGTGATCTTTTTTGTTTATCATGGACTCATTTTGAAAGCCGAGTCGTTGTTGTTCTCAGCAAAGGCCATCTCACTGAAAATGACGCGTCATTTTTTCCAGACGGTTATTATGCGTGTAAATGCTTGTTGTTCTTAGCTTATTTTGAATCTCAATCAATAACTATTGCATGGATTTATCTCGAGTATGTCTGTTAAAAAAAAACATGTTTGCTTGAGCAACCTAAACAAATGTAAATGATCCCAGGGTTCCCTCTAAAAATGACGTTTCTCTCAGTGAGTTTTCGTGTAACCCAAATAAAGAGCTTGATTGTTTGATGGTATCACCTGTCCATAGGAGGCTGATAAATACACACAATGGAAACCTGACACCTATGCATGCAAGTTTATTTTAAATTTATATCACCTTGCCTGTTTTCATAGAACCAGAGTGCAGATAGGCCGACACCGGTAAATGTAAATGTTTAGCAGGTATCATTGCCTCTGTAACCTGTATGTAACTCCCAGAGAGCCTCATTTTGATGGTGCCCATGTGTTTTGAGGACACATTGTGAATTTATGAAACCACCTATTATTGTCAGGCCCCTGTGTGAAACCATGTCTTCGAGACCTTAACACCCACAATGCACCTCGTGACCAATTATCCAGAAACACTGCACTGCAAATTAGTTGCTTCTCGTCTATGCGCTGTGGAAAAATAATGAATGGATGAATAAATAGCCTAATAAAACTCTGGGGAGTTCCTTTAGATGCGTTTAAAAAAAACTAAATATACAAATTGCCCTCCTGAATACATGTTTGTGTTCCTGGCCCAGGCTAATGTCCAAGAGTGTGTTGCACTAATCAGTGTATGTGTGCCGATTGCTGGATCTTTTTCTTTGATATACCTTGAGGGAAAAAGCGACCCCAGCGGTGTCCACAGCTCACAATAGCATATATGATGAAAACCAACACTGTACAAAGCACCATGGCACTCATTTCATCTCTGCTCTGAGCAACCTTTTGACCGAGCAAGCAGAATTGTATTTTTCATAGTGCAGTGCAGTAAACGCCTACTAATCCCGGGTTATTGGAATGTGACCGACCCTCTTTTATAAAGCTGGAAAATCTGAATTAAAGACGGTCACACTTTAGTGTGATGGAGCGGTGGCGCAGTGGTCCATACACTGCCCTGTGAACACAGTGACCTGAGTTTGATTCCCAGCCACAGCCAATATCAGTGGCAAGGGATTTCTAAACCAGTGCCTGCACATCCCCCATGCCCCCTCAACCTCCTCCTTCACCAACCCGCAGTGACCAGCATGGTGAAATATGGTCAAACGTCACCCATAACTGATGCACGGTGTGGGTTGAAGGGGCTGTTAATTATTATGATTCTATTTGACTACAATGTAGCAATTCATCATCATCATGATCCATGGGCAGATAGCCCGTAGCTGTCCATTGCATGTTTCGTAATTTGTTTCCATTTCCCTCTGTCTTGTGCCAATATGTTCCAGTAGTGCCACATCTTTGTGGCACCAATCTCTTATGTCATTGTCAAGCCGTTCTCTGTTAGGTCTTCCTAACAGAGAATGTCTCTCCAGTTCCTTCCCTTTTACTGAACAATGCACTTTCAATGTTCCTGTTGTTGTCCATCCTACATATGTGATCAAATAGTGCCAGTTTCCTTCCCATAACTGCCTGCATCAGGTCTTATTCTATAGACTCATGCAAAACATACTTTATGATCCAGGAGGCAAGCTCATAATCTATCACTCAGGGACTCTGCCACCTCCATGTACATACACTGGGGGAAGAGAACACCACTGAATATTGTAATTAATGTAAGGTAGACTTTTCTGTCCAATGAATATCTTCAGTCTGTTTCAGATTAAACATTTCTGCCACCAGATTTGGCTACCGTGATGTTATAATAAAACGTGCGGTCATCCCCTTACATTGACATTACTGTACTGGGTGATTTTTATAACGTGATTTTCATTTCAATAATGTCTTGTCACCTTTACTCTTTTAAGTCATTACCGCTTTAGATACAATTCACGCACTGCCTTATAATAATTACCCGAGTAGCGCATACATGTTGAGCCAGTATACCTTTAGTATTTAATAGAAAATTGATGAAGCGTTATATTGATTTTTCTTTTTGCACCTCAATGTTTTCTTTAAAATGCTCAGTAATTTCTTTGCTGGGGCTGTGCTTTCAGGTCGGAATGCCATCACAAAAGAGGAAATAAGCATAGACGTGAAGAAGATGGATTTGGATATTAAGTTCTGGTGAGTGATGTGAATGTTTTCTACTACTTTTTTTTTGTTGAGCTGTCCACCATTTATATGCGCATGGTGAATATGCTTCCACATGTGTTGTGTTGTTTTGTGACCGGGGTCTGCCTTAAAAACGAGACGTTCTACCTTGGTGTGCCTTCACTCGGTTGACATAAAGATTTGACTATGGTTATCATCGGCACGAGTGTCCTCTACGTTAATTTGCTTTAGCCTACAGTGGGTACCTGGTTGCTATGTAAAAAAAGGCGGCTGGGTGTGAAGGAAGATGCACCATACCATGCTGACCTTACACAAGAGTACTTTGCACAGCAGTCTGCTGGAGAGATGTTCGTCTCTCTGCGTTTGCGTGTGTACTTCCATAAGCCACATGAAGTCGCATTGCCATCTGTCTATTCACGGATGCTCTCCATCTTTTGTGACTCTCTGGTAGCTGTCAAGCATGCATTTCTACGTGTGTGTTTAACTCCGTGCAGTTGAGAGCACACACAAGTTAGAAACATCATATGGAGTGCTAAGTAAAGTAAGTAAGTTTGGGCAGGTTATGTCACTAGAAGAAACGATGGCCAATGGTTGAGGTTAATGTCAAGAAGTGGCAGCCCACGAAGGGAATATGACCAAAAGGACATCTGCCATGGGAGTAGAGTGATGAAATGTTTCACATGCAAGTATTATACAGATTCTTGTATCGCGAGACCATAAACGATGTTGCCAGCTTGCGAAGGTATTCATCCAACAATGGATTGATTATGGCTGCCGATTTTACACGTATACACTTCGTTCGTTCCATCGTTTCTCAGTCCGCTTGTCCTGGTGAGGGTCGCGGCAGCAGCGTGTCGAGTAGTAGCGGTCCAGACCTCCCTTTCCCTGGCGACAGACTCTAGCTCTACATTACTATACAATACACTACTATACACTACACTATTATACACTACACTGTACACTACTATGCACTACACTACTATACATTACACACTACACAACTATACACTACACTGTACACTGCACGACTATACACTACACTACTATACACTGTACACTACACTATACACTACACTACTATTCACTACTATATACTACTATACACAGACTCCAGCTCTTCCTGGAGAATTCCCAGGCATTCCCAGGCCAGCCGAGCGACGTTATCCCGACAGCAGCGTGGTCCTGGGCCGGCCCCGGGGTCTCCGCCCAGTGGGACGTTGCTGCTGCTGCTGCCCGGTAGAGTTGCAGGGGGAGTCTACCGGGGGGCACCCTTATCTGGGGGTCCGAACCACCTCAACTGGCTTCTCGCAATCCGGAGAAGCAGCGGCTCCACTCTGAGGGTTCTCCCGGATTACTGAGCTCCTCACCCGATCACGGAGAGCGAGCCCGGCAACCCTGTGGAGACACCTCATTTTGGCCCCTTGTACCCGTGATCTCATCCTTTCAGTCATAACCCAAAGGTTATGACCATAGGTGAGTGTGGAAATGTAGATTGACCTGTACACCGCGAGCTTTGTTCTAAAACTCAGCTCCCGCTTCACTATCACGGAATGGTACAGCGCCCACAACACTGCGTACAACGCCGCACCGATCCACCGGCTGATCTCCCGCTCCCACTTGCCATCACTCGCGAAAGAGACCCCGAGGTACTTAAACTCCTCCACTAAGGGCAGCTGTTCCCCCCTCACTTGGAGAGCACACTCCACCATCTCCCGGGAGTGAACCATGACCTCATATTTGGAGATGCTGATCCTCATCCCAGCCGCTTCACAGTCGGCATCAAACCGTTAGAGTGCACGCTGGAGATCACAGACTGACGAGGCAAAGAGGACAACGTCGTCTGCAAAAAGCAGCGACGCCACCTCCATGCCCCCGTACTGGATACTCTCCATACCTCTGGCTGCGCCTTGATATCCTGTCCATGAAACTCACAAACAGGAGTGGAGACAAGACGCACCCTTGGCGGATTCCAACACCCACAGTGAACGACTTTTATTTAACACCAAGGATACGGACACAGCTCTCACTTCGGGAATAGAGGAACCGGATAGCGCACAAAAGCGGCACTGGTACATCATACTCCACAGCACCTCCCACAAGACATTGCGGGGAATACGGTCAAATCCTTTCTACAAAGTCTGCAAAGCAGAGGTAGACTGGAGAAGCATACTCCCATGACCCCTCAAATGTCTGTGAGAGGGAAGAGACCTGGTCCATTATTCCACGACCCTTGCCAGAATCCACATTGTTTCTTCTGAATGTGAGGCTCGACCACCGGAGCATGTAAACGTATTCTATAAATGTGTTCGAATGCAAGATTATTTACTTGAGTTTGTCATGTGTGTGTGTGTGTGTGTATAGGCATGTGTGTTTGTACATGTGTTCACCCTTGTGTGCACATGTTGTGTTTGGAACGAAGTGCATGCATTCAAGCACATTTGCATTGCGTTTGTAAGCATTTACCAGGTGACTGTATGCGCCAGCATGTGGGAGGCATAATGCATCTGTGTCGCCCGTGTAAGTGTGTGTGTTTTTTATGTGTGTGCATGCCCACCGCCTTTCTAGGAGGGACCGCTCCTTGGCAGCCTACCAAGCACAGGCTGTGTGCATAACTCGAATGAAGAAGGAGATACTGTCTCTCAGAGATCAGGTAGCGTAATCGTCGTGAAAAGGGCATTTGACCCTCCCATAATATTCAACCGGCAGCTGAAATGTAACATCATTCTTGCGTTTTTGTGGATATGAAACATCCAAAGAGTGTATTTACTATGCTGAATATATGTGATGTTATCTTTGGTCGTGTGAACACAATATTAGTATTGTTGTTATTTAAAAATAACGATATAATCAGGAGGGTCCTGTCAAGTTTTTTAGCAAGAGGAGGCAATGGTTGCAATCCAATTGTGGGTTATTTTTCAAAATTGGACCGGCACACAAATGCATCGCCGGGAACTTTACCGTCCATTGCAAAGCAGATGACGCTTATATTTTAGTTGTTTGGTTAATAATCCCCCGTGGACCTCTGCAACAAGAGGCAAAAGCGCTAGAGCAAGGCCGCGTCACCGTTGGTGTATCGAATTGTGTGTTTGTTTGGTTTTGGCTCGTGTGTGTATATTTGTTTCTTAATGTCAGCTTGAAAGTTTCAACCAAAAAAAATATTGAACCTATAAACAACCTCCACGCTGTGAGGAGGCCTTCAGCCAGCAGTGGACTGATAAGGAGCTCTAAAGATACATTATATACACAACATTCATGAAAATAACCTAATAGCATTTGTCTATTACATTGAATATTTAGTAACTTGTGTTTTTTCTTATTACCTGGAATGCCTGATCTCATCAGATCTCGGAAAACAAACAAGGTTAAGCCTGTATGTATGTATCTATATTGAACTTCTTTAACACCGTACGTAGCTAATCATGCTAATCAGAGGTGCAGGGGAAGGACAACAAAAATCCTGGATATTCTAATTCTGATTCTGAGCTGTTATAGCAGGTGTGGAAGTTATGTAGCTAATCATGCTAATCAGAGGTGCAGGGGAAGGACAACAAAAATCCTGGATATTCTAATTCTGATTCTGAGCTGTTATAGCAGGTGTGGAAGTTATGTTGTGGGCAGTAGAGGTGTTGTTGGACTGTACTTCTGTTCCCATATCCATACTCCTAGCCTTCACCAATGCACACTGAGAAGAATGGAGAAATCTGGCCAAATTACATACATGGCTTGTGGAGTTATTTGCTCCAATTTATCTTTGCAGCATTTTGTATGTCTCCTTCATTATTGCCAGGAATTCAGCTGGTGAAAGGATAATTCCAACTTTCTTTGGACAATCTGAAAGGTCTTAAACAAACGTCTAAAGAGACATTGTGAATGTGTAATGAAAATAAAGAATACAATTAGCATTACATTTTTTTTAATAAAACTTGGCGAAGCTGGATTGAATATTATTATATTAAATTAAACATTCAACTAAATCTGACAGCACTGCACATAAAAAAAATCCCTGAGGGTCAGACTGTCCAACCATCCAAAGCAATCTGCTTGCTCTGCGTGTATAAACTCTGTTATGAGCATTCCACACGTCCATCGACTAGCCATATTTTCCTAGTTTCTCGTTCCTAATTTAATTAAAACCTTTGAGGTTTACATTCTGTTAAATGTCTTCCTGAATTATATTGGTTAAATTGGTCACACCTAACCTGATTCAATTACAGGGCTGGATTTAGAATGCGTGACAAAAGGCAATGCTGACCAAATGAGATCTCAAAGACAGATAGGAGTAATAAAGCGAACGGAATGAACACAGTGCACTCGCACAGCAGAAATGAAGGTAATAAAATACAAAAGCAACAGCCGTATCGGCTGCTTTTCCAGTTGGAGCAGTGGAGTTAAGCACAGGACATTAAAGGTTTTCAAGGCCCCAGCACGAACAGCAGGGGGAGACAATCACCGGTTCCTTTGCAAAGGTCTTCTGATCTTTACCTTGAAACCAAAATTAGCATTTTAAGATGCAGTGATGAAACGATGTCTCGTGCTGACAAAATCATTCAAGCAATACTCATTATTTACAAGTGAGCAAGATCTTACGGTTTAAAGAAAATTACTTTAACTTGTGCTTTAGTCAGATATCAGATGTCTTGTGCGGCCAGACATTGTATTGATGATCTATACAGCATTGGGATTTTAGTCAGCACTCTGGCCTTAATGCCATCTATTTTCTGATTTTTATCATAGAACATCACAATCTGTTAATATTCGCATAAGTGGAAAGCGTCACAGTTTGATGTTTCACCACAAACATAGAACAGTGTCGCCTCTGCCTTGTTGCTGGAACATTGGGCAGGCAGGGTTAGGACAGTGAGAAACATAGGAATCACCATTACAGAGGGTAGAGTGCCTCCTGCTGAAAACCTCACGCCACTACTCATCACGGCCTCATGTTCGGTCATCCTTACATCTGATAAATATTTTGTTGATCTGCGTGGAAAAATTACATGTCGTGAAAAAGACTGTTTTTTTTTATCGTGCTCAAATGCATTATCCACGATAATCATTTTTTTAGGTTGGTACGTTAGCACATAAGTTAGTGGTAGTCTTTTTTATATCGTTTATGTTGGTCGGTTTGCCATAGTATTTTGTACTCCTCTAAGAGAGGGACTTGTCATTATTTTCTCGGACAACGTTAAGTTTAATACTATTTTCTTCTTCCGAGTATATTTTGTATTGAGTTTGTACAGCATGCAGGCGATGGTGACTGAATGATGTGAATTATAACGATGTTCAAGAAATTGGCACAAATACAGCCAAATCTATGCTCATAAGTGTACAATTCTTATGAGTTTGGTTTTGCTAAATAATGGCCCAGAGGTTGATTGATTTTTATTATCGGCCAGAGTCGCACCTATATCGCAAAAACAAAAATTAAGTCCTGCGCTAAACACTTAAACATATATAATCCTATCTTCTTTGGTTCTTTCGGTAAAGTCACGTAGAATGAGAATAAAATAATAAATTGATAAAATAAAATAACACAATAATATTCTCACGACGTTTCGGCCACAACACAAGCGGCCTTCATCAGGTGAAGGGGCGAGACTGTCTGGTAGGACAGCGCTGGAGTGAATCACTCCAGTGATTCACTCCAGCGCTATTTTTATTTTTTTGATTTTATTTTATCAATTTATTATTTTATTCTCATTCTACGTGACTTTACCGAAAGAACCAAAGAAGATGAATCATTGCAGTCACGAAAGCTTTAAATCGAAATATATAATCCTAATTGTCAGAGCACCAAGTGATTCATATTTTGTGGATTGTGGTGCGAATTAAAGCAATTGAAAGCAGATGAAACATTCAGCCGATTACGAGTACAAGATATTGTGACACGTGAATCACTGACTTGCAGCCCGATGTTTTTTTTGCCAACCTTTTGAAATGCATAGGTTGTCTTGACAGCCGCAACGCGTTGGACCGTAGCTGCTGCAAGTGCGTCTCGCTGCGTGTGCACAAATTTGACGCTGCAGGCATCGGCATTACATTAACAAAAATATATAGTGCGTGATTTATTTTAAGTTACTTGCAGTTTGTGGTTTCACTAAGGAAGTGTGGTCGAAACAGTCGTGGTTTGACTCAAAAGCTGCAGATTTTAAGTGCATCTAATCAATGTTGACAAGCGTAAGAGCCCGAAAACTGTGACTAAATTTCGATTTAAAGCTTTCGTGACTGCAAGGATTCATCTTCTTTGGTTCTTTCGGTAAAGTCACGTAGAATGAGAATAAAATAATAAAATAAAATAACACAATAAAATTCTCACGACGTTTCGGCCACAACACAAAGTGGCCTTCTTCAGGTGAAAGGAACAGACCTGTCGGGACGACAGAGCTTGTGTTGTGGCCGAAACGTCGTGAGAATTTTCTTGTGTTATTTTATTTTATTTTATTAATTATTTTATTCTCATTCTACGTGGTGACTTTACCGAAAGAACCAAAGAAGATGAACTGTGACTAAATAAAGTTGACGCAGCATCAGCATCTTATTTTAATACGACATTGATTGCGTTATCTTATTTTTTTTTACAACTTGGGGACACTTAACCTGCCGTTTAAACCATGCACTCCTATACTCAAGGTATTTAATTCTGTAAGCGGTCTGTCCCTTAGTTGTGTATGCATTCTGGTGTCCTGAGCTCAATTCCCGACCACAGCTAACGTCAGTGGCGGTATCTAAACCAATTTTGGGCACCTCCTTCACCACTGTTGTCTTTCCCCCACACCTCTGATTAGCACTGTTGGATACGTATGGTGCAAAAGAAGTACAAATTACGTACAAACATACATTCTCATCGTAGGTAACTAGCACAGGAATACGACTGTAAACCAATTGGCTGAGGACCATCAACAGCGATGAGCATTTGTTCGAACATGATACTTGGACTTAATTTTGGCCATTGTGCTCATTATTTTTGTCATTCTCATGGAATCACAAGGTATTTGCTTTGTGCCACTGTCTCTGCCTTGATCTCTAACCTACCCTGACCTCTGTCTGTGTTTTTCTCCACGTGTCTGGGAGCAGCTGCTGACTCAGAAAAAGCACATAGAAACCCTTGAAACTCAGCTTCAGCTGAGCCACGAGGAGAAGTCACAACTCCGTGAGTTGAAAATAAAGTTTTGCAGAAACAGTAGAGAGTACATAAGAGGTTTTTTTGGTTCGGTCGCGTAAATATAAACGTGTCGTTCAACCTGCCATCCATCCGACACAGCCAATTCGTAAGGTTTGTCACGGAAACAAAACATTCCAATTCGTTACTAGTTCACCACACCGGTGTGTTGGAGAGTAAACCCCACAACGTTTACAATTCAAGCACGATGTTTCGCAAGTAATTACAACTCGCATCATCCAGGCGAACAGCGAGAGTATAGTGTAATTAGACAACTCTTGAGTGGCCACAGTAGTAGCGTACAGTATGAAGCTGCACAGGACGGCAACAGAACAATGGCCTTGGCAACAGTCATAGTATTGTCACCATGTGGAAATGACCACGTGTGCATTACGCTTGACACAAGCTGCACAAGGACTTGCCCGTGTTAAGACTAAGAGCAGCTCCTGTGCATCACGGGCTTCGTGTGAGTGAATTGTTTTACCCCAATTCAACCTGCGTGCCCTCATCTGCCAGCAGTGACAGGGTTCACAGCGCCCTAGTCACTTATAACGATTTTTTTTTCCTTGAGATTTTGGGCTTGATTCCTGTCCAGAGATCAAATCAGTGACATTTGATGTCTGAACCTGTCCTCCTGCGTGTCCAATCACTGGAGAGGTAAATGCTGCTGGACATGGCGCCTTGACACATCACCTCCCACGTATGCTGCTTTGGTGACCGAACAGAGGCTCTCGAATGGCAATTGCCTCTCTGGTTGTACAGATAAGTAGAGGATCTTTCTTTCGTTTTTATCTTTGTGTATGCACGCTAGGAATGGGGTCCACGAGTTGCAGATTGCTTGCAGTTGAACAGATGCATTTGGGAATCGGACAACTCTCTCGGGGGTGGATGGATGACGGAGAAGATAATGCGCGTGCTGCGTTGTCCACGCAGCACACAGGTAGGTGCAACTTTCACCCCGGTGGAAACACGTACACCATCACCGTCACCTTTCTGTCAGCTGTGATCTGCCCCCTGCTCGATGTTGTTGGTACCGTTGCATCGAGGATTGTCCAGCATCGATGTGTTGTGCGCCTACACTTACCAGTTTTAGTCACTCACTCGTGAATTTAACACGTAGGCTTTCGCGACATATCCATATTTAAGACCGAAGCAGGAGGATTTCTCCACAACTCTGGCTGTCCACCTGATGATGCTAGTTGTAATTACTGGTGAAACGTTGTACTCGATTTGTCAATGTTGTGGGTTGACTCTCCACCACACTGGTGTGCTGAACTAGTAACGAATTGGCATGTTTTGTTTACTTGACAAACTTTGCTCATTGGCTGTGTCGGGTGGTGGCGGGTTTAACGACACATTTATATTTACGCGATCTAACCCAAAAACCTCTATTATGCACTCATTAATTCTTCACTTTGGTCTCTTACTCCAGTTTGTTAGTACGATTGGTTGCCACTCTATCACTAAAGTACTGAAAATGCTCAGTCAACCGATTGTCTCGTGTTATTTTTTACCGTTGCGAAAAAACTACCTTTGAAATATTTCAGTAATAACGACATTTATCGAGGAAAACATCACCGTGGATGTAATTAAGTTATCCAGAAAGTTTGTTCAAGAGGGTCTGCATTGGGATGTTTGGCAATTTTCTGGTGACTTGTCCAATAGCGTAGCATTCCTTCACTCACAAATCATCGCTGAAACATCCCAGAATTATTCCTTCATGAAAAGTGGGGGTTTTTTTTTACCCAATTATTCTTGAAACTGTGCAAACTGTGCACTCCAGTCTCCAGGTCTTGGTGACTTAATGATTAGTGTCTTTAAGAAGCACACTTTGGAAATGTAGTGGCTGCTTTCTGGTGGTGGTAGATAGGAGGGCAAGGTAGAGCAGAGTGACAGGGCCAGAAGTTGATTTTATTTTAATGGTACTGTATCGATCGGATCGTTGACCCCATTTTTTTTAATCTGCGTTGTTTGTGTTACAAGGTTCATTTATTTAAATTAACATTAGTCAAATTAAAGGTCGCACTCATTACACACAAAGTGCTTGCCACAAATGGCCCACAATACCTTGCTGATCTTGTCAAGGAGCATAAACCAAAACGCAAACTCCGCTCATCCTCGCAGCAGCTTTTAGCTAACCATCGAGCAAAGATGGTCACCGCATCGCGCGCTTTAAGATGCGCTTCTACGGCTGTCTGGAATGCTCTTCCTTCCGATATTAGGAAGACACTGGAGCTATGCACTTTTAACTCTAGATTGAAAATTCATTTTTTAAGAACTGATTTTTGTGTTTAGTTTCTTGTCTTTTTCCCCGCACCTCAGATCAGCACGGTTGGCTACATACGGTGCAAAAGAAGTTAAACATATGAAACTGGAGCAACATTCCAAATGTACTCTTTCAAATAAATAATGCCACTGTTTTTCCATCTGGGTACCGTTCATACAAAGAAGTCTCAATGCTTTTAATCCATCATGTGTCAAATTGCATACTCAGCTGTGCAATACATCATAAAAAATGAAAGCGTAATTGATGTCAAAGAAAATGCAGTGTATATTGGGGCACGTAC